TTTTTTGGGGAGAGGTTTTTCGATATAGGGCGCGTGCGCTCGCCAGACAGATAGAGAGAGACATAAAGACAGAAAGCGAGAAATCACCCCCCAGGGGGGATGGTCACACCACAATCCGTTCTCCTCCATTCTCCTCTCGGGATCCTGGGCACACATGCACATGCACCCGGAGTGAGTTCCAAGCCACCGGGTCCGGCACGCGAACCGTGGTCGACTACGTGGGAGTCCAGCGACATAGCCATTATGCTAACTGCTGGTTCCCATAAACACACTTCTTGAGACATTTGGTGTGGGAGGCTGCACACCAGCAAATATAGCCGGTTTCTCAGAGAGCAATTACACAATACCAAAGGCCATGATTGGCTCCCCTTCAAAACCTCCCCTTCAAAACCATACTCTGATTGGCCCCTAGAGTCCCTCAGATTTGCATAACCGGTACCTCATGATCGATCCACAAAAGCAACCAACCATAACCTACCTTTTAACAACCAATCACTGCCCACCAACATGTATATAACCACGATCCCTGGCCCACAATTGCCAGACGACCCTGAAGACCCTGAAGAGTTGTGACACCGCATCGTCTCTGGACGGACGACCCTGGAGAGTTGTGACACTGTGTCGTCTCTGGACAATGCTGAAGAGCTGTGACACTGTGTCGTCTTTGTGCTGCCCACAATAAACAGACGACCCTGAAGAGCTATATGTAACACTGTGTCGTCTCCATGTTGTAACACTGCACTGCTTGTCCTGTCTCTTACTCCTTCCTTCAGGAAACCTGGTCAACTGTCCCCCGGTCGGGACAATTTGGCTATGAATTCAGGATAGGACTGGAAGGGATTGAGTAGGGGAGGGATCTTAGTTGTGTTTAAGATGGTCTTGGTTGTGGTGACATGGTGGTTGAGGTGCTGGACTCCCATATGACGGGAAAGGGTTCAAGTCCCGGACCTTGTGGCTTGCTTTCTCACTTTCCCTTTCTTTTGCTGTCTTTGGTGAGCACATGTACCCTACAGCAAATTTAAAAATAATGATATAAAATTAATAATTTAAAAAAGTATTTTAAAAAGATGGTCATAATTGTAATTTGAGCTTCAAAATACAGGTTGAGCATTCTCAGTTCTGGAGGAGTTGACTATCTGAGGCTTGCAAAGGTTAGGAAAATCAGGGAGCTCTGCTGGGACAGGAGATGCGGGGTGCTGGTGTAGAAGTTGTGGCAAGGTATTGAAGGAAATCTTTTGCCAAGAATTATAAATTTGACTAACTTTGGCAGCTGCCGGCAAGGGTTAGGTGCTGGACTTAATTTTTCAGTTTCTCATTTTTTGAGGGGATCGAAGAGTTTTGTGGGGCTGGCAGGTGGCGTGGTGGTTAAGGGCGCTGGACTCCCACATGGTCGACCGTGGTTTGAGTTCCAGATCTGGTGGCTTGCTTTCTCACTTCCTCTCTCTCTTTCTGTCCCTCTCAAGTCAAGTTAAAGTAAATCAATAAATAAAGTTAAATAAAATAATTCTTAAAATAAAAAAAAATTTTGTTAGTAACTTTCCTCTTTTTTCTTTTTGGTCACTTGTCTGTGTGTGTGTGTGAGAGAGAGAGAAAGAGAGTGTACGCGTGCATGTGTGGTTAGCTAATTTTGCCCCACTCCATAAACAGCAATGCTACCCAGAAACAGGGGAGGAGGCCAGAAGAGCACAGGATTGCTGCTCACAGACTCCACTTCCCACCTCCTCCCCCATTCCAGCTGTTTCCTTTGGTTTCCATGTAATTTTTTGCTATTAACAACCCAGCAAAACCAGTTTTTTGTTTGTTTGTTTGTTTTTTTTTTGGAGAGAGATTTTCACTGTAGGGCACGTGCGCTCGCCAGACAGACAGAGAGACATAGAGTCAGAAAGCGAGAAATCACCCCCCAGGGGGGATGGTCACGCCACAATCCCTTCTCCTCCATTCTCCTCTCGGGATCCTGGGCACGCACGCACACGCACCCGGCGTGAGTTTTAAGCCACCGGGTCCGGGACACGAACCGCGGTCGACTACGTGGGAGTCCAGCGACATAGCCATTATGCTAACTGCTGGTTCCCGCAAAACTGGTTTTGTCTCTATTTTGTAACTGAGAAAAGTAATCTGTCAAAGGCATTTTCCGTGGATAGGCCAGGACTTCAGTCCAGACCATCTAACTGGGAATGAGCTACCAGTTGAAGTTTCAAGGGCATCTTAATTTTTTTTTTTTTTTTTTTTTTTTTTGAGAGAGATTTTTGCTATAAGGGCACATGTGCTTGCCAGAGAGATGAAGAAAGACAGAAAGAGAGAAATCACGCTCTGGGAGGGGATGGCCACACCATAATCCCTTCTTCTCCATTCCCCTCTTCTGATTTTGGGCACACACGCACATGCATCTAGCGTGAGTTTTAAGCCACAGTGTTGGGGACTCAAACCAGTCAACTATGTGGGAGTCCAGCGACAAAACCATTATGCCATCTACTGGTACCAGGACATCCTAATTTTTATACCAATTCTTATTCTGTTATCTTCACTCAAAACCTCTATACAGGGGACCAGCAGTTAGCATAATGGCTCCGTTGCTGGATTCTCCTGTAGTCAACCACGATTCGAGTCCTAGACCCAGTGGCTTAAACTCACGCCGAGTCCGTGTGCGTGCGTGCCCGCCCAAGGTCCCGAGAGGAGAATGGAGGAGAAGGGATTGTGATTTCTCACTTTCTGTCTCCCTGCCTCCCTCTGTCTTTCTGTAGAGCACACGTGCCATATAGCAAAAACCTCTCCAAAAAAAAGTTTCCTTATGTGTATTACTTTTCCTAACACTTAATAAAGACATAAACATTACTGTCTAAACCAAATGACTGGACAAAATAGAACAGTTAGGTATTTCTTTTGTTGAATCATAAAACATCAGACACACTAAGGACACCATGAACCGAGAAAGTTTGGAAACCTCTGATATCAGTGATAAAAACTTTTTTTTAAAAAAAGAGTTTTTTTGCTATAGGGTGCTTGTGCTTACTAAAGACAGAAAGCAAGAAATCAAACCCCAGGGGTGATGGCCACACTACAATTCCTTCTCAATTCTCCTCTCAGGATTTTGGGCACGCATGTAAGCACATGCGTCCCGTGAAAACACAATTCTTAGCTGCCATTCAAGGTGCTTCAAAATTTCTGGTATAACCATGACCTTTCATCCTTTTTTTTGTTGTTGTTTATTTTTGTCATATTTTTCTTTTTTAGAGGTTTTTGCCATAGGGCACACGCACTTGCTGGAGAGAGACAGAGACAGTGAGAGGGAAAGTGAGAAATCACTCCCCAGGGGAAATGGCGATGTCACAATCCCTTCTCCATTCTCCTCCTGGGATCTTAGAGACACACATACACCAGCAGCATGAGTGTAGGACTCAAACCACGGTTGGCCATGTGGGAGTCCAGCAATGTAACAACCACAGCAACTGTTGGCCCTAATCTGCTTTAGTCCTTGGCTCAAATCTTTCTCCGATAGTTGCTTGTTGTTTGACCTTGGGCAAATCAACTTAATTTCTCTGAGCCTATTTGCCCAGCTATGGAAAGGGAGACTAGTACTTGCTTTGTATGGATGTCACAAGGATTACAAGAGAATGTACACGGGGATGTGCATAAATACCGCGTGTGGCATATTATGAACGCCCGATTAAGGGGTAAACGTAATCCCCTCTCACCTTGAAGCCTCTGTATAGCCCACCCAGTGGCTTACCCAGTTCCCCAAGACTCACTTGGATATCCCCCTGAACTTTCCAGGTAGTCTCGCAAATGTTGCTCTTCCTTCAAGCCCCAGTTCACCTCCTCCGTCCAGCCTTCCCTAACCAAAGCAGTCCACAGTTAACTGCAGTAGTGTTCAACCATACCACACAACTGACCATTAGAAATGCCATCTGTTATTTAACTGGTATATGCCCTGCACACTTTGTTCCCCCAGACTGTAAGCATCTTTGAGGTCAGCAATGTCATGCTATATTAGTTTCCTATAAATTAACAGGAAATACTTGCAGTAATGTATACATGTATTCAGGCTCCAGATCAAATTAAGTACTCAGACACCTCCATGTGTATGAAACTCACGGAGCAGAGGTCAGAGACCAAGAGAAGAGGTCAGAGTGCACAGACACTGGCTGGTGGTCTAAGTGGAACCCTGGGCTGAGGCTGTTTGTCAGGCCAGTTCACAGGCAAACAGGGGCCCACACTGGGAAGGATGAGTAATGATGGGTATTGAGATAGTTAACATCCTAGGAGTAAACCAGGGAGGCATGGCAAGGAAAGGATTTTACCACAAATAAGTTTGCTACCCTCTCTTTTGAAGAAGGAATTTTAGGGGGCCAGCAGATGGCATAGCAGTTATATCACCGTTTCTCCATATGACTACAGTTCAAGTCTGATGGCTTGAAAGTCACACCAGGTGTGTGTGTGTGTGTGCAAGTGCCCAAGATCCCAGAAGAATGGAGAAGGGATTGCAGTGTGGCCATCTCCCCCTTGGAGGGTGGCTTCTCACTTTCTGTCTGTCTCTCTGATAAGCCTTATAGGTGCCCTATAATAAATCTCTCAAAAAAAAAAAAATTAAAATATAGCTATGTGAGGAAGGCAGGTCAGGCCATACAGTAAAGATCAGTGGGACTAGACTCAAGCTTGGTTACGCACAGGCATACAACCATGCGTAGCAACACAGGAAGAATGTGGGCTGGGAGTGGGGAACTACACACCTGGTGAATGGAGTCCAGCTCTAAGTGGAGAACCCCGAGAAGACTAGCCACTGCTCCCAGAAGACGAGGGCGGTGAGGGGGGTTGGCCCATAGCACTTCATGTGTGGAAGAAAAACATCCTGGGTTAAATCAGGATATTATGAACTTGTTAACTAGTTCAGTTCAATAATGTTCAGTTAACATGTTTATGTAAAAGAATACTTACATAAATTTTATTATAAAAGAGGCCCTTTTTAAAAAACAGAGCTAATTTAAATTAAAAGCTCCAAGGCATAATGTTTCAGGTAGGTGTCATTACCATCTGTAACTTCACCCCATTTATTAAGCCAACAACACTTTTAGTAACTTCCAAGGTCACAAAGTTACAGTGAGGTACAGAAGCCCAGCCAGGATGGGACAGAACACGTTCCAGGCTAGGAGGGCACAGCGTAGCTCCTCCATCCTGTCTCCCACAAAGCACCTACGCTCCACTATAATGAAGGTCTTCTTTCTGCAAATCTCAGTGTGGTCTTTTAGATCCTCTGGCTGCGGCTGGTTCAATCTCCTGATTCTACTGGTGGGCTGCTTCGTTGCTTAGGAAGACGATCCAAGCTGCCCCAGCTCCCCATCTTGTGAGTCTCAAGTATGTGAGGCTCAGGAGAGCTGAGCAATCGGAAGGTTGGGAGAACTTCCTTTAAAGGAGGAACCACTACTCCAGCATAAATTGTCCTTAACCCTACTGCAGAAACTTTTCATTCTGGGGACGGTGAGTCCTAGAAGAGCATGACCAAGAAGGTGCCCTGAGTGGCTTCCTCTCCAAATGGGAGCCATCTGGCCACTTGCCTTTTACATTTCTAATAGCTGCTCCATTTCCGTGAGGGCTGCTGTAAAATCGTTTACTTGACCATTACATAAGCTTTGCTGTTCTAGAAATCGGACTCGCTCTTCTTCTTTCATCTTCAACTTTACCTTCAAAGCCTGCATGGAAAGACATTCCAAGAGGGGGGAAAAAAAACCTCAAAAACCTCTTGAGCCACAGGAACGATATCACTCCCCAGGACATTATGCTCCTATTCCAATGAGGAAGACTACTGAAATACTGTTAGATGTAGTATTGGGTCGTCAGGAAAGTCATGACACATTTTTCATAGAAAAACATAGGAAAATACATTACTTTCTGATGACCTACTATTTACCCTAGATTTTATTTGTACTGGTTCGTTTTTTGTTTTTAGGTTTTTGCCATAAGGTTTTTGCTTTGTCTGGTGTACTCACTAGACAGAGAAAGAGGAAGAGAGGGAGAAGAATCACCCTCCACAGGGATGGCCATGCTACAATCCTTTCCCTTCCATTCTTCTCTTCGGACTTTGGACATGCATGCACACACACTCAGTATGATCTTCAACTGCCAGGTCTGGGACTAGAACCATGGGTGACCATGTGGGAATCCAGTGCCTTAACCACCATGCCACCTGATCATCCAATCAGCCTGAAGCAATCCAGATCCATGAATCTGGGTTTCCTACTACAGGTCTCCTGCTTGAGTCATCGAGTTTCCGCAGCATGGATTTCATGTAGGTCTCAAGTCTCAAGTTGAGCAATAACTGTGTTATTTATTGCTTCATGCCCTAGAGAGGTCCTCAGAACCATACAAAGGAAATTAGGTGAAATTCAAATAAAGTCCTGGAATTTAGTTAACTGTACTGCACAGAAGCGAGTTTCTTAGTTTTCACAAATACAAGATATTAACATTGGGGGACTTGAATGTTCTGTATTATCTCTGTAATTTTCCTGTAAATCTAAAATTATTTAAAAATAGTTTATGGGGACTAGAAGTTAGCATAATGGCTATGTCGCTGAACTCCCATGTAGACAACTGCGGTTCAAGTCCCAGACCCAGTGGCTTAAACTCACGCCGGGCGTGTGTGCATGTGCCCAAGATCCCGAGAGGAGAATGGAGGAGGAGAAGGGATTGCGGTGTGGCCATCTTCCCTGGGGGGTGATTTCTTGCTTTCTATCTCTCTGTCTCTCTCTGTCTTTCTGGGGAGTGCATGCGCCCTATAACAAAAACCGCTTTCCCCCCAAAAAAAGGAAAAAAAAGTTTATGAAAAATAGAAAAGTAGGAAAGAAAGACTTCTCCATAAGTCTACTGACTGTGGTAGGAATAATCTTGTCTCAGGGTGATGTCTACCTTTTCTTACCTGTAACTCCTCCATCTGCTTTTTGGCTGTTTCATTAAAAAGCTTCAGCTCATCTTGCAAAGTTTCTAACAGCAACTAAGAGGAAAGTACAAAGCAGTAAGCAATATTTCATACAAAATGGGAGTTAACGTAGATGATGGTTAACATTGCTTCCATCCACTCACTTATTAAGCATTTCTGTTGGACTGTCGGAAGAACTCAGTCCACAGCACAGATGGATAACCCCGCTGTGATGGGCTCCGAGCTACGCAGACCTTACCAGCAAAGTGCAGAAGCCACAGATGGGGAGACTAACAGCCTGTGGAAGCTGAGAATGGCTTCCAAGATAATTCTAAGATGACAATTGGTCTTCTGGAGAAGAGATCATTGAAGTTTCAAAGACTTTAAGCCCAATCAACTATCTTTCTATATTTCAGGGAAAGAACCAACAGGAAGCTGGAAATTTGATGGGCTAGAGCTCTGTATCATACAATGCCCAGCAAAGAAACAAGGGGGAAATTTGGTAACGTATGCAGCGCAGAAACTAGACAGCGCTATACAGCTTCACCTTTTTAGGTGTTTTAAAGTAGTACATTTTTTCTGGAGGGGGCACCATACCAAATGACTCTATATTGCTATATTTTTTGTATTTATGTCACTTTCATAAGCAATAGTCTCTTACTGGAATGTCTAGAATCAAAGGTAATTGTCTAATATTTATTTATTTTTAGGTTTTTGCTATAGGGTGCCTGCGTTTGTCAGAGAGACAGGGAGAGGGAAAGTAAGAAATCATTCCCCGCCTGGGGGAGGGGGCACACTGCAATCTCTTCTCTTCTATTCTCCTCTCAGGAGAATGGCCACACATGCCCGATGTGATTTTCAAGCTGCCAGGTCTGAGACTTCGACCATGGTCAGCCATGTGGGAGTCTAGTGTCTTAACCACCACATGACCTGCTGGGCCCCTAAAAGAGTATATTTTCTTTTCTTTTCTTTTCTTTTCTTTTTTTTTTTGAGAGTTTTTTTGCTATAGGGCGCATGCACTCGCCAAAAAGACAAAGAGAGACAGAGAGACAGAATGCGAGAAATCACCCCCCATGGGGGATGGCCACACCGCAATCCCTTCTCCTCCATTCTCTTCTCGAGATCTTAGGCATGCACGCACATGTGCCCAGTGTGAGTTCAAGCCACCGGGTCTGAGACTCGAACTGCTATCGACTACATGGGAGTTCAGTGACATAGCCATTATGCTAACTGCTGGTCCCAAAACAGTATATTTTCAATTAAGACTTATATTTGTAAGCACAAAGCTACCATTCAAGTAAAATATGCTATTTTGAGTATACATCCCACAACTCTCTTCCACTATCATAGATAACCAAAGGCCACTTCTTGGGATTTGCTGAGCATACAGCAGAGACTTCCACAGGTTTAAAGAGCCCTGTATTAACCTGGCCCTTGCCCATTCCCACCCATGCCCTTACCATAGAGCCTGTGTGATCCGTAGTGGATTCTTGCTGTGATGTCAGAGATTCACTGCCTAAAACTAATAGATACACAAGGGTCATTCAGGCAACTGTGCCTCACACAACAGAAAGCAAAAACCCCCTCTGGACACAAGTATGGCATATTCATGAGGGAAACCTAGCTGGGTGTGTCTTGAACTCTCTCCCCTGGGTTTTTGCCCTGAGTCAAACACACCTGCCCTGCACAGCTGTTTTTCACCTCCTTCCTCTCAGTTTGGATATGGCCCCAAATCCATTCTGCTTTCTCCTTGGCTCAGAAGAAAATTTGTCCAAAGGAAATGTATAAATTGGGCTTTTTTGTTTTGTTTACCATACACACAAAGCCATTTTTTTTTGGCATACTGTTTATTTATTCCATGTGTGAGACAAAGAGATACAAAGTTACAGCACCTCTGGCAGGGTCCCAATGCCATGATTCATCCCCAGCTTCAGCCAGCCTAAATCAGGGCACACTCAGCTGGCGTATGAAGGGAGGTCTCCAGACAGATATGAACTGGCAACCCTCCCAGGTGGGTCTGCCTGCCTGAGTGTCACGTTTTACCATTGCACCATTGTCGCACCCCCACAAAACTATTTTTAAAAGTCTTTTTGGGCCTTCAAAATTATTATTTTTGGTTAATAGTATATATACAGCAAATTGGGAACCAGCAGTTAGCGTAATGGCTATGTCGCTGAACTCCCATGTAGTCGACCGCGGTTCGCGTCCTGGACCCAGTGGCTTAAAACTCACTCCGGGCCCGTGTGTGTGCGTGCCCAAGATCCCGAGAGGAGAATGGAGAAGGGATTGCGGCGTGGCCATCCCTCCGTGGGATGATTTCTTGCTTTTCTGTCTCTAATGTCTCTCTCTGTCTGTCTGGCGAGCACACGCACCCTATAGCGAAAATCTCTCTCTCAAAAAAAAAATATATATATATAGCAAATTAAAATAGTACAAAATGTTTACATTGACTATAAAGAATATCTGCAACCCTCGGATTAATCAGTACCATACTGAATGCAGAGAGGCCTTGAGCCTTCTTGACAGCCTTTGGACAATTCCTTTTTCTAATCTCTTGGCTACAGACTCAGTTTAACAAGGACAGAGCCAGAATAGGAGTCACACTTCAACCACAATTCTGATTAACCAGGTTTAGAAACCCTTGAAACAGTATCCTCTCTTTTCCCACCTCATAAAATTACCATATGCTTTTATCTCCCTAGAAACACTTTTTTTTGGAAGGTCTTAACTATCGGCACCAAATGAATGGCAAAGAATGTTTAAGATAGGAAAGAGATCAGCTGCTATCTACATCATCTGAAATTCTCATCAGACAAAACCAACACTGCATGAGAACAAACTGAGGCTCTCAAAAATCCTCAGCTCTTTGTCAAGCAAGCCTTGCACTAAGTGGCCCAGCTAATGCCATGCTGCCAGTATCACCCCAGAAAGGGGAGTCGACGATTCCCTTGAAGGCATCTGTGTGCTCTTACCTGGGTTGAGGCCCTTACTCTCCAAAAGTGCCAAACAGTTGTTCTGAAACTTCTCCAGCAGCTCCACTTTCTGGGTCAGGTCCTTCAGCTCTCCCTACAGAGTGTCACACAGACAGCTCAGGAAAGTCCCACTCCCTAGGAGCAGTCAGTCTCTCCTGCTTTCTCTTGAACATCCATCGCACAGGCCTAGCTTCCCTTTCTGCCTTTGGGCAGCTAGGTGTCACAAGCTTGTACCCACCCAAGGACCACCTGTCAGGATTCCACAAGCATCGCTCAGTGGCAGCTGTTGAAGAGGTCAGTGGGTCTCACCTGAGTTTCAGTCAACTTCTGGTGCAACTGTTTGTTGACAGCCTCTAAGAGCTGGTTCTTATCCTTGAGTTCTTCCTCTGACTTTTGCTTCCTCAATGGTTTGTAGCTGTAATAACAGTTGCACTTACATGAAGACGTACAGGGGTTAAGGGTATGGACTATGGGGGACAGCAGCTGGCATAATGGTTATGTCACTGGACTCTCATGTAGTCGACCACAATTTGAGTACTGGACTCGACAGCTTAAAACTCACACTGGGCGCATGTGCATACATATCCAAAATTCCAATAGGAGACTGAAGGAGAAGGGATTGCGGCATAGTCATCCCTCTGGGGGGTGATTTCTCACTTACTGTCTCTCTGGCAAGCACATGCGCCCTATAGCAAAAATCTCTCTTAAAAAAAAAAAAAAAAAAAGAGTATGGGCCAGTGGGTGGTGCAGTAATTAAGGTGCTAGATCCCACATGGCCAACTGTGTGGTTCAAGTCCAAGACCCAGGGATTCAAACATGGGGTGTGTGTATGCATGTCCAAAATCCCAAGAAGAGAATGGAGTAGATGGGAATCTGGTATGGTCATTTTCCCAGGGGGATGATCCCGCCGGCCAAAGCAAAACTAAAAATAAAGAAACCGTGGGCTATGGAGCCACATAAACAGGTTCAAATCCTGGCTTCATAAATAGTGGTAGATGACCTTTAGTAAGTTCTATGACCTACCTGAGACTCTGTTTCCTCATTCCTAGAATTAGGATAATACCCACATCTTGTTTTATTTAATTAATTAATTAATTAATTTTTTGAGAGTTTTTTGCTATAGAGCACGTGTGCTCGCCAGAGAGACAGAAAGTGAGAAATCACCCCCCAGGGGGGGTTGGCCACGCCACAATCCCTTCTCCTTCATTCTCCTCTCGGGATCTTGGGCGCACACACACACACATGCACCCGGCATAAATTTAAGCCACCGGGTCTGGGACTCAAACCATAGTAGACTATATGGGAGTCCAACAACATAGCCATTATGCCAACTGCTGGTCCCAACATCTTGTAATATTGTTATTATAAAGAATAAAGAGAAAACACAAACATGAATTCTTAGCTCAGAAACTGACATATAGTGAGCATTTAATAAATCATCAATATTAAATCTTCTTAAATTTCTCAATCTTGCTTGCTTGCATTTTGTCTTCAAATAAGATATGCTCGGATAATAGATTTGGAATTAGAACCTATCTATATAGACTTTTCAGTCTATTATTCCTGTTTTCAAGACTGCAAAACTTCCAAGCTATACTCCAACAGAGAGAGAGATTCTTCTCTGTGATTTCCCCACTACCAGCAGAATTTCATCCTGTTATCACCAACGACGTGCAACCTCCTCATCCTGAAGGCGTCAGACTCCTGTGGATATGCCATACCTGGGTATGATTTCCAATCAACGGTGGTCTTGGCATGGAGCCCAAAAAGCTCTTGTCTAGGACTCAAGATGGTGGTACTACTGACTCTTACCTTGACAATGGTTCTTAAACCTGGCCGTGTCTCACCCTGAAAATTCCACTCAAGTTTCTGTGGTGGTACCCAGACCATAACATGGTAAACAAGGCCCCCAAGTGAAGTACACCAGAACTGAGACCCACTACCCTAAAACAGCAGCCAAGTTAATTTACTCTAATGCTCACCTCTTCTTCACATTTCTCCTGTTGGCTGTGTCTGCAGCTTTCGCCTGCCTAGAGAAGAAAAAACATTCATTCATCAGGGAATCACAATACTGCTATACTATGTGAACAAGGTAGAACAAAGAGTCTGAGTTCCTAAGGAAAAAAACAGAGATTAGGGGCCAGTAGTTGGCATAATGGCTATGTGGCTGGACTCCCATGTAGTTGACCACGGTTTGAGTCCCCGACCTGGTAGCTTAAACTCATGCTGGGCACATACGCGTGCGTGCTCAAGATCCCAAGAGGAGAATGGAAGAAAGGGACTGTGGCATGGCCATCCCCCTGGGGGGTGATTTCTCGCTTTCTGTCTCTGTCTTTCTGGCGAGCGCGTGTGCCCTATAGCAAAAGCCGGTCGTGCGCTTCACAAAAAAAAAAATAAAAAAAAAAAAAAAAAAAAAACCAAAAACCAAAACAAAAAAACCTCACACCAGGCACATGTGCATGCATGCCCAAGATGAGAATGGAGAAGGGATTATGGCATAGCCAACCCCCCAGAGGGGTTATTTCTCATCTTCTGTCTCTCTGGTAAATGCATGCACCCTATAGCAAAAATCTCTCTCAAAACAAAACAAAACAAAACACCCTCCCCCCCGAGATTATATATAAGGCAAACAGCACAGGCTTGAGAGCTCTGAGGGCCCAGGCACTTTGGTTTCAGCTCAGACTACTGAAAAAGGCTTATTAACAGGGAAAGTGATCACCCCAACTGCGAAAGGCCTGCTTGTGCTCGAGATGGTCTCTCAGCCTCATTTACCTGGGAACCAAATGCTGGGTGTCGGGGGCACACAGACACACTATGCTAGGGCTGGACTGCACTCAGACCAGCAACCTAGGCTAACAACATGCCTCCTCTCCCGACCACCATTGAGGGTTGCTGCTTGACCAGAGTACTGCCATGTGTACACTCAGAGCAAATCAGCACAGAGGGTTCTGACCAACAGCCCAGCCATGCTATGCTTCTGGGCCAGCTGTTCAGAAGCCTTGTGTTCCCAAAAACCATCTATAAGTATGTGTGAGTGTGTGCCAGAGAGCTTGTGTACTTGCTAGACATTCAGGAAAGGAGGGCGAGGAAGAGAGCACCCTTCATGGGGCGTGGCCATACCACAATCCCTTCTCCATTTCTACATCCTGTCAGAATTTTGGGCATGAACATGCATATATCCAGGGCGTCTTTCAAGCCACCAGGTCCAGGACTCGAAAAGCATGGTCAGCCATGTGGGATTCAGCTCCCCTACCACTGGGCTACAGGCTGACCAACCAAAACCCTATCTTCTAATTCTTCAAAATTAACAATTTCTTTTTTTAAAAAAATTAATTTATTTAATGTTCCTTATTATTGTTATTTACTTTGACGAGAGAAGGAGCAAGAGAAAGAGAAAGTGAGAGAGCAAGCTACCAGGTCCAAGACTTGAACCGTGGTCAGTCACGTGTGAGTCAAGCACCCTAACCACCATGCCACCTGTCAGTTCCGTTCATACTGAACAATTTCTACCAAGATATTATTTTTTAAGAGAGATTTTTGCTATAGGGAACGTGAGCTCGCCAGAGAGACAGAAAGCGAGATATCAACCCCCTCCAGGGGGCATAGCCTTGCTCCAATCCCTTTTCCTCCATTCTCCTCTCAAGATTTTGGGCATGTACACGTACATACACACACACACACACACACACACACACACACAGCATGAATTTTAAGCCACTGGGCCTGAGATTTGAACCACAGTTGACTAGGTGGGTGTCCAGCAATATAACCATTACCCGATTTGCTGGTCCCATCTAGCAAGGTATTCTAACTGAGACCAATGCTGACTCTCACCCATTCTCTTGTCTTGGCTTGGCTGTTTTTGTAACATCATTCTCAGAGCCTCCTGAATGAAAATGCCTGGGAACATCGACTTCTTTGGTCCTAACAGGTAATAGACTCTTAGAATTGGCTCGAGTTTGTGTGTCTGCAAAGGAAAAACAAGAGGGAAACCTCAAGCATCATGACCCAATAGTAGCAACTGTGTAACCGGGCTCTTCTATTTTTTTTAAACTTTATTTAATGCTGACCAAAGGGACAGAATGAGTAAGTGAGAGAGACAGAGAGCGAAGGAAAGTGAGAAAGCAAGCTGCCAGGTCCAGGACTTGAACCATGGTCGGCCATATGAGGGTAAAGCACCCTTAACCACCATGCCACCTGCTGGCCCCTCTCTTTTTTTAAGAGAGGATTTTTTCTATAGGACATCTGCACTTGCCAGAAAGACAGAAAGTTAGAAATCAACCTCTAGGAGGGATGGCCACATCACAATCCTTTCTCCATTCTCCTCTTGGGATTTTGGGCATGCATACACATGCACCCAGGATGAGTTCAAGCCACTGCATATAGGACTTGAACCACAAGAAATCATCCCTGATTTCAATCAATCCCTTCTCTTCCATTCTCCTCTCAGGATTTTGGGCACACACGTACAAGCACCCAGCGTGAGTCTAAGTCACCGAGTCTGGGACTTGAACTGTAGTCAACTACATGGGAGCCCAGAAACATAATCATTAAGCCACAGGCTGATCCCTAAATCTTTTTTTGTTTTGTTTGAAAGGTTTTTGACATAGGTCACATGAGCTCACCAGACAGGGACAGAGTGAGATGAAAAGTAAGAAATCACACCCCAGGGGAGATGGCCATGCTGCAATCCCTTGTCTTCCATTCTCCTCTCGGGATTTTGGACATATATGCACATGCACCTGGTATGATTCTCAAGCCATTGGGTCCAGGCCTCAAACTGTAGTCAGCCATGCAGAAATCCAGTGCCTTAACTACACACCACTTGCTGGCCCCTAAACCTTTTTTTCCCCTTAACTGACAGAAGGTGTGTGCACTGGCCAGAGAGATGGGAAAGCATCCTGCCATGGGGTGCAGTCACAATCCCTTTTCCTATTTCTCCATTTCATCAGGATTTTGGATATGCACATGCACAAACAGCCCAGCATGTTTTTTTAAGCCACAGGGGACATGATTCAAACAGGTGTTGGCTATGCGGGATCCAGTTCCCTATTCGCTGTGCTTAACCACTGTACTACAGGGTCAGTCCAAAAGCTCAAAGATACGTCAAACAGAATGAATGGAGGATATAAATGTGAACACAGAGACCTATACAAGCAAAGAACTAAATGAAGGGCAGTGTGAAGTTAGCAGGCAAAACAGCTGAACCCTTTACCACTTTGTTAAGGACCCAAAGCCCTTTCCACTCTCTTAGAGCAACACTAAGGAGCTCTGGGATTTTCTTTTAGTTGTTTCTTGATTTTTGTTTTGTTTTGTCTTACCAGAATGTCTTTCTAACCACTCTACAAGACATCTTGGTGTCTCTAGTGTATATGATTTTCTACTTTTGATTTTTCTACAAGTGCCCACATTACTATTCAAAAAAACCCAACCAACCCAGGGCTCAGGATCCTGACTGGATGTAGAGATGGAAGAAAAAAAGAATTACAGCACATGGGGCTGGGACGGTTGCTTTCTCCTTCTGTCTGTCAAACCATGCTCAAAACTTCCAACTTAGTGGACCAGCAGGTGGCGTAATGGTTACATTGCTAGACTCCCACATAGTCAACCATGGTTTGAGACCCAGAAGTGGTGGCTTAAAACTGACACTGGGCGCATGTGTATGCATGCCCAAATCCCAAGAGGAGACAGGAGGAGAGTGGACTGTGGTGTGACCATCCCTTCGAGGGGTCATTTCTCACATTCTGTCTGTGTCTCCAGCAAGCACACGCACCCTATAGCAAAAATCTCTCTCTAAAAAACAAAAAACTTACAATTTAGCTAGAGAGCACGTCACTGCCTCTGGCTGAAAGGCACTGAATCTAAGGGGAAGACAGCAGAGCTGTGCAAGAAGACCTGGCTCCAGCACCTCCAGCAAGTCCTAGACCCTCCAGGTGCCAGAATACCACTCGGGTGTTCTGAGGCAACAAAAGATGAATAGAACCCTTTAAGCCTTTGAAGAAAGCCTGTTTACTTCAAAGATCAAACCTGCCACTGCTCATCAACTGGCTGCAAGGAGTCATCTGAGAAGGGATCACAAATGGTCATGATCTCCCACGACAGTTTTCTGGTGCCCGAAGCTTATTCTGTGCTATCATCTCTAGATTAGGCAGCTCCAGGAGTGCAGACACATGACCTGATTTTCAACCCCAAGCAGAATAACACAAAGCGAGACGGCAAAGCAACCAAAACAGGTTTTCAGTCATGTTTCTGTCTTTTCCCTCGGTTCTTAAATACGGTGGTTAGGTCTGATCCCTCTTCCCCACTTCTAGGAACACTTATTGAGGATGTGCTGGTAAGAGACACTATATACATAAATGTGATCCAAGAACCCTAAGCATCTCCCTTCTCAAATATGTTAAGCCCAGGTCTGGAAATAAAAAGAGTACTGGGTTAAAAGGGTTCCCAGCTTAATGGGAATAATACTGTAGGACAAGTAGCAATTTGAATCTAACTGATGAATGCAGTCGGCATGGGGGAAGGGGTGTGAGCAGAGCAGGTCTAAAATCCTACCACATGGCTCTTCCCCTGATCTCTCATCATAACCCTACAGTCTGGCTCTAGGTAGGGGGTTATCAGGTTGTCAGAGCCGATGGAATGCCCTCTTCGCGTCAGTCCGCGTCCCCAATTCCCAGCCGTCCCACACTCGCTGGCTGATCACCCCTGGCTGGTCCGCAGTAGCTGAGGGCTGCTGACCACCCACCTGGGGGCTGCTGACCACCCACCTGCGGGCAGGCCGCCGCTCGGCACAGAAGGGGTTTGCAGGCTGTACACTGTTTTAACCACGCTGGTCATTGTGATGAGGTCGGCCCTAGAAAGTGCAAGAGGCATGCGTTACTCCAGCCAACCGCCACAGGTCAGGGCCGGTGGAGGGCCCGAGGTGCGCGACCCAGCCTGCCCAATCTCGGGGTCAGGAAAGAGAAAAGCCTCTCTCCCCCGCCCATCCCACCC